TTATTTCTTTTTTTTTTTTGAGTTGGAGTCTCACTCTGTCATCCAGAGTGGAGAACAGTGGCACAGTCATAGTAACTGCAGCCTCGACCTGCTGGGCTCAGGCGAGCATTCTGCCTTGGCCTCCTGAGTAGCTGGGACTACAGGCCTGAGCCACCACGCCCAGCTGATTTTTAAAATGTATTGTAGAGACCAGGTCCTGCCAAGTTGCCCAGGCTGATCTAAAACCCCTGGGCTCAGGCAATCCTTTCACCTCTACCTCCCAAAGTGCTGGGATTACAAGCGTGAGCCACCGCACCCAGCTGCTGTTTATAGAAATAAAAACTTTCCTGAGGTTCTCCTGGGTGCTGAGGGTCGGGGTATGATGCACAGAGCCTGTCCCAGCCCCCAAGGAATACCCCTGAGACCCGGGCAGGCACACCAGCCCTACTCCAAGGCGGCCATGTCTGCAGTGTTACCATCTGTGTGTGTCACTAGGGAAAGGAATACAGGTCTGGAAAAAGAACGGAGTCATCTATGAAGGGGACTGGAAGTTTGGGAAGAGAGAAGGCTATGGCGCTCTCAGCCTTCCTGACCTGCAGACGGGAAAGTACCAGAGAGTCTACTCCGGCTGGTGGAAAGGCGGTATGAAATCGGTGAGTGGTTCCCAGCATGCCCTGGGGCGTGGGCAGGGCTGACAACCACGCTGTGTGTGAGTGCCTGTGTGTGTGTGTGTGTGTGTGTGTGTGTGTGTGTGTGTGTGTGTGTAGAGGCAGCAGAGACACCTGGGAGAAGGAAGGGGTGGGGGGATTTGTCAAGACTTCTCAGAACAAAACCCAGGAAGCAGGAAGCAAGGGAGAAGACCCACAGAGGGGCCCATGAAACCTTGTGGCTACAGGGAGCCAGCTAGGCTTGTGGGGGCGAAGTCTCCTCCACCCTCTTCCCCCATCTTTTCCTGCCTTTCTTTTCCCTGGGCATCAGTTTCTGAGAATCCCACTTCTGCTGGACCTGGATAAAAGAGGAGGGAGGAAAAGTGGAAGCAAGAATGCAGGGGCCCCACCCTTGGCCCCAGGACAAGAGAGGAGGATCCTGGGGGCAGAAGCCAGCCAGAGGCACGTGCTCAGCCCAGAAACACCCAGACTGGGCACAGATTTCCTCAAGTCACTCTCACAGACTTGAATGAGTCCTCACCCTAGGCTATGGAGACATAGTAATAACAGCATTGCAATTGAGCAACTACTGTTGTGAGCCTGGAACATGTACTTCAGTTAGCCTTCACAGTAACAACTCATCATCATCGTCTGAATCATTCTCATTTTACTGAAGAGAAAAACGGGATCGTCAACAAGAGAGGGGAAGTACCTTGCTGGAGGTCACGTGGCTAGCGAGTGGCAGAGCCAAGGATTTCATATTCTCTATTCCCAAACTGTTTATTGGCCAGTGGAGAGAGAAAGCTCCAATTAAACAATTTACATATAATATGACATTAGGATTGATGATTTCATAGGGTACCCAAAAGAAGGTCATTAAGCCTAGAATAGGGAATTCATGGCAGGCATCCCTTAGGAGGTAACAGTGAAAGATGCTAGGAGTTAGCCAGGGAGAGAAGGCAGAAATTGCGAAGGGAAGATGTCAAACAGCAGGGCATGGAAAGAGGGGGTGTTGGGGCCTTTTTTTTTTTTTTTTAGTTGGAGTCTCACTCTGTCACCCAGGCTGGAGTGGCACGCTCACCGCCACCGCAGCCTCAGCCTGCTGGGCTCAGATGATCCTTCCATCTCAGCCTTCCAAGTAGCTGGAACTATAGGCATGAACCACTACGCTTGGCTAATTTTTTGATTTATTGTAGAGATGAGAGCTTGCCAAGCTGCCCAGGCTGGTCTCGAACCTGTGAGCTCAGGCAGCCCTCTCACCTCAGCCTCCCAAAGTGCTGGGATTATAGGCATGAGCCACTCCACCTGGCCTTTGGGGCCTTTAAGGTTATGTGGGGAATCAATATTTTGAGAAGTCGCTCAACCCACCCTCCTTGGGTGTGGTCTGCGAGGAATGTCTAATTCTCTGTGGCTGGACATTAAGTGTGGCGTTTATGTTCATTTTATCGGGTCAACATCCGAGTGGGAGGTGGCAGATGTGATCAGAGGAGCTGTTTAAAGATCCTTCTGAGCCGGGCTCGGTGGTTCAGCCTGTAATCCCGCGCCTTTGGGAGGCTGAGGGGAGTGGATTGCCTGAGCCCGCGGGTTCGAGACCCGCCTGGGCAGCGAGACCTCATCTCTACAATAAATCAAAAAATCAGCCGGGCGTGGTAGCGCCCTCCTGCAATTCCGGCTACTTGGAAGGCTGAGGCGGAAGGATCGCCGGAGCCCAGCAGGTCGAGGCTGCGGTGGCCAGAAGTGGCCACTGCACTCCA